CTGCTAGTTGCCAATTACAAGAATTTAGGCAGATCACTTCATTTCTGTGACCCTTAGAAAAAAGGAAAACAAGTTACGACTTCAGACAGCCCCCAACTTATGTTTGCTCTTATAACCTTTTTTGACTTTACGATGTTGTGAAAGTGATAAGTATTAGTAGAAACCGTATTTCGAATTTTGATCTTTTCCTGGGTTAGCCATATGCAATATAATACTCTCTGGAGATGCTGGGCAGCGGCGGAAGCAGCAGCAGCAGCAGCAGCAGCAAGGGAGACTCTCAGTCAGGCAGAGCAAGAGAGGATACTCTACAATATACTGTGTTGCCAGTGTTATTTGGATACTGTGTTTTGTGTTTTCCCATTGCAGTATGTCTACAATGGGCCCTTCTTGTATCTCTTGTTTCTGGTGAGAAAAGGAAAGCAATTACTCTCAAGATGAAACTACATCAGCCCAATGGTAAGCTAATGTAAGTGTTCTCAGCCTGCTTAACTAGGCTAGGCTATGATGTTCCCTTGGTAGGGTTTGTTCTACCCAGTGCATTTTCAACTTACAATATTTTCAATTTAGGATGGGTTTATCAGGATGTAATCTCTATAGATAATCTATATGACTGTACATTCTGAAATTCTATAAATGATTAGCATTTTGTTTTAACAATTTAATTTTTTTGCGATCACTTTTAAGTAAAAATATTAGCAGTACACATGGAAAAATTAAACTGAAGAACTCCACAGAAACACTTACATGGCTTTGTATAGTCTCACCTACCTTCAAATGCAAAGAGGACTCAGGAAAAAAAAAGTTGTATCTAAAGACTATCCAAGTAACATAGTATTTTGACCACACTAGCTCCTGGGGTAGGAAAAAATGGTAGTAAAACAGTAAAAATATTCAAGGAAAACCACTACCACAAGAATACCAAAATAAAAAACAGATGCTCTACATAGTTACTGCTACATAGCAGAAGCTTTTCATAGCTTTCCAATACTCCTAATAAGTCCCGATAGAAAAAGAAACAAACAAAATGTTTTCTTAACCACATATCCAAATGTACTTTTTGCATCCTCAAACTTTGAAAGTACAAAACACTAGGCAATCTACAGTTATTTGTGCACATATTAATCTGTTCAACTTCATACAACACCTTTATAGCATTTAGTAATGTGCCCTGAACATAAAAGGCACTTAACACTGGTTGCACACGGCAGTGAACTATACATGAATCTCTAATCAACAAATAATAAATTAGAACATTTCCTACTTCTTCACGCCATATTCTAGTAAAATCCAAGTCTGAAGTAAAAAAACAGCTGGAAGTAACTAAATATGGAAATTTCTAGTATTCTCAGGAATCAGTAAGAATTTGAAACTGCAATTAAGACGTCACAAAATACAATTAAAACTGAGTAACAAGACACACACACACACAAAGAAAAATAACAAATAGCCTGAAATTTACCTACATCAGCATTTTTTTTAAGGAGTGCACTGCAGAATTTTTAAAACATGCACTATCTGCCCTGACTGATGTGGCTCATTGGGTTCCACATCAGGTCACACACCCGGGTTGCGGGCCAGGTCCCCAGCCGGGGGGCGTGGGAGAGGCGGCCCATCTATGTTGCTCTCACACATCAATGTTTCTCTCCCTCTCCCTCCCTTCCCCTCTCTAAAAATAAATAAATAAAATTTTTCAAAAATTTAAAAGAAAAACATGCACTGCCTGCCTATTTAGTCAGGGGCGCTGACCTCTTTTCCCTTAGATTGTCCAATAAAAAATAACAGCCAACACAACAATAACTATCCGATGTGGTTGAATCAAAATTATTTCTAATTTTTGTCAGATTGGCAAAAAACATATTCTTTGGTGTACTGCAGAATTTCAGTAATTAGTTTTTATGTGCCATGAGATGAAAAAGGTTGAAAATCGCTGACCTACATCAATCCCTGGCCTATTCAAAGGCTTTTGCTTTCAACTGCAGATAACAATGGCAAGAAAATCTCACCCTTCACCAATTTTTTTAAAAAGCTTTAAAAAACCTAACTAATCTAAATGTGCCTAGCCTTGTAACAAACTTTTAACCAATTAAATTTTTTAAAAAGTTAACCTCAAGCATTTTGTGTCTTTTAAAAAAAAAGGATGTGGGCAAGTCAAATATATAATTAAATTCAACAAGACATCCAGTTAAAAATAGATATTCCTCAGAGGCCATGGAGGGTATCACGGCTACACAGCAATAGGTATGTCCCAGCAGAAGGAAGTGCATTTGAGTAAGTTGTAAATGAATACGTTTTTCTACCTAGAATACAATGTTTATTCGTTCAATAAATATTTGCAGTGTCAATATTCTACACAGAAAATAAAATTCTACACAGTGCCTTAAAGATAAAATTAGAGGAGGGTCTATCCTGCCCTCAAGAGGAGATAAAACACGTACATAAAAACTTGAATACAAAGTAGAAAGTGTAAATGTCAGGAGATGTGCAAATAAAACATTTCACAAGTGCAGAGGGAGCTGTTACTACCTCACAGGACTATAAACCTTTTAATCTTTATAAACACTTTAAAGTGATTTCATAAGTATTAACTTTCTTAGGAACCAAAGAAGAGCAGATGTTGTCCTACTACCACAGGTGAGGAAACTGAAGCATAGAAAGATCTATCATATTCCTAAATGTCACAATGTTCATTAAAGGAAAAGTGAGGACTCTGTTTCACATTTTCTTGGGGTAGTACTGAAACATAGGACAAGCCTTTTGTAAAAAGAAAGAGTATTTTATTTTAGTATAGCAAGTAATTGCACTCTTATGTATGTATGTGCATATTATTTATAAATGCATGTGCTAACCTTGATATCCATTAACAGATGTGCTAAAAGCAAGGGAAAGCAACTGTAAATGTCAAAATAAATAAATTTCCATTGGGTTTTAACAAAATAAGAAAATAAAGACAATATTTCTTTTTCCGAGAGCTTGTGGTTACTTCTGTAATTATTACCTATTTAGACGTTAAGATTCTAACATTGGTCTGTTCCTAAGCCCAGGCACATTGGTTCATCCAATAAATATCGTTATGAAAAGGTACATGAAAACATTTTCAAAAAGCCATTAAAAATTAAATAATGCCATCAACTCTTCAGGTATCCAATGGACAATCACATGTGACCCACCAGCAGCAGCTATTATTGATCAGTAGATGTTGAACGAACGAGCGAGTATTTGTTGCCATTTTAAAATCCCGGGCCTGTTGCACAAGGTTCCGCATCCCGTCATTACCTCACCAGCGTGCACACAGGGAATGTAAATTTCAGTATAAATAGGATATGATTAGGGAAGCAAATCTGATGCAGGTGAATACACTAATCCCGAAGACGGGAATTACCCATCCCACACCACTCTCCAAGGTGAACACCCCACTGAGGCAGCACTGTGGCTCACAACATCAGGAAAGGGAAGCCGACGCTGATGCTTCGGAAACATCACTTACTCCCATCCCCACCTTTAATACCCGACTGTTCCTAATCCAGTTAATTCGAAGAATGCAAACTCAGTATCTTCTCCATTAAGACTGATTTCTCTATTACAGTTTCTCAAGTCCTCCTCCCCCCCGCCCCCCCGCCAAAAAAGAGAATGCACCGACTTCGCCTCCTAAAACACCAACAATAAAAAGCAGAAGGTACAGCATTCCGATCTTTGCAATACCCACCCTTCGCCATTACACTCCGGAGAGATTTGGTTAGAAAGGCGAACTAGTTTAATCTTCACGCACTTGTCCATCGCTGTCACCCTCCCTAACCCCTTCTACGCTCCCAAGGCGGCCACCAGCTCCGCCTCAGAGCGAGCCCAGGGGCCACCTGTGCTGGCCCCGCCCGGGGTCCCCCGGCCCACTCGGTCTCCCTCGCGGGGCCCTCCGGGCCACGCACGCCCCCTCCATCCAGCGCACCTCTCTGCCAGCCCTGGCCCGGCCGCAGCCCATTCTTCCTCCAAACTCCATATGCCTCCACTCGCCCTCTGAGCTCCCCGCCGCGCAGGGTTAGCCCTGGGCGGCCGAGGAGAAAAGGCCAGACAGCTGGGGCGGGTCCCAACCTGCCAGGCCCGTGACGCCCCACCGCCACGCAGTGAAGCTGTCCCCGCGGCCGGTGCCCTGAGAGCCCTCGGGAGCTCCCGACCGAGCGGCGGCCCGGAGGTCGGGGCCTACTCACCGGGAGCTATCGGAGTGTGGTAACTGGCGCGTCCCCGAGTCTGAGGAGCGGGACGCGACGCCGGCGCGGGTCCCTACCTCGGGACCTCCCCCGGCGCGGCGAGTTGGGCGCTCACTCCAGTCACCGCCGCCGCCACCGCGGCTGCTGCTCCTGCTTCGCCACCTTGGCCGCCATCTTGACTCAACCCTGCTCCCTCCCCACACCAGCCCCGGCGGCCGGCTAGGGCTGCTCTGGCGCCGGCCCCTCCTCCTTCCGGAAGGTTGGAGGACCCACTCCCTCCGCTGGCGTAGCGCGTCTCCTACCTCGACCGCGCTTCCTGGGTCGCCCCGGGCCTGGCTCCTAACCTCGCCTCGGCCTGGCGGCGGCGGTTCTCTTAACCTGAAACAGGCCTGGGCAGCGCTGTGCTTAACCGAGACCAGCGCACTGCCTTCGCGCACCGGCTGGGGCGCCCACCACGAGCCGGCCGACTTCCCCGCGCTAGGGGCCTTCGCCAGAGCGTGAGAAAGGGAGAGACGCAAGCCAGCCCCGAGCCCTGCGACCCCCTCCGCGGCGCGGCGGGACGGCAGCTGCCTCCTCCGGCCGCGGACTGCGGGGAAAGAAGCCGATCCCTACGTGCTGGGAACCGAAGGGGTGCACATCGACCTACCGAAGATATTTCCCAGAGCTCCGGCTGTAATTCGCACCAAAACGTCACTGAAAGAAGGCCGATGCCGATTTGTCTATGATGTCAAAATCTAAAAGTCTTAATCTAAAAGTCATTCCTCGGAGGAGCCTGTGGCCCTTGCGATCACCAAGTGTGGCCTCAGTCTCTTCCAGTGAAATGACTGAACAGTGTACGGGCAACGGTAGGAAACTGAACAGGAAGGGGTTCGGTTCAGCTCTAAGACCGAGCGGGCACAGACCTGGTAAATGCTACATAAAATAAAGAGAACTCGATAAAATAAATGTTGGGAGGCGTCAGTGTAAAACCACAGCAGGAACCTGGCATTTAAGGCCTCAAACCGTAAGAGCGGGTTAGCTGGGCGACCCTCAACTCGGAACGCAGTTTCTGCGGAGTGCAGTTTTCCCGCCGGAGTCAGGGTCAGCTGCACCTTTCCGTAATGCGCAGGCGCAGAGCCACTTACAGAGCATGGAAACGGTGGGTGTCCTGTGTTTGGTTGTGGTGGTACTAGCACGGATCATCTTCTGGGTTTGGGATTCCTCCGAACGAATGAAGAGTCAGGTGCAGGCTGGCCTGCTGGGAAACGGAAGCCGGACCCTCCTGGTGATCGCGCACCCCGACGATGAAGCCATGTTCTTTGCTCCCACTTTGCTAGGCTTGGCCCGCCTGAGGCACCGCGTGTTCCTGCTCTGCTTCTCCGCAGGTAGGAGACTGCAGGCGGGGCGCTGGGACCCGGGGCTATGAAGGATATTTAAGTGCTAACTTATCTCAGTCTATTTTTTCCCAACAATTCTCTGTTGTAGAAAGCTAAGTGAATAATACACCGAAAGTCGCTTCTCTGGGCGCTTCACACAGAATAGGTGGCTCCAACCTAGGGATCGTATGTAGAGGCCAGCTTACCAGGTTGGTTGGAGGACGTCCTCGGCTTTCGTGCTCTTCTGCTAGCAGGATTAAGCACAGGAGAGCAGCTCACTGTTGCTTCCATTCAATACCTACATTTCCGCTGGGAAATGGGACTGTACTCAATACTCTCTGGAATCTTTTTATTTGCTGAAGGGCCAAGAATAATGATCTTATTCATTATTCCAAACAGAATCTAGGTTGTATCATGCCAGCTCAAGCCTGAAACTTCTTCTAGCGGTAGCAAAGGATTTTCCTGCTGCCTTTTAATTTTATTTTGTCCTAAAAAGATGCACAAGTTGAAGAAATAGATTCAGATCATTAGGCTAGAAAATAATTTTGTGGATAATTTCATAGTTCAGGACCACCCAACTTTCATGTATGGTGGTCGGTGACAAGCGCTGTGAAGGAATTCATAAAGAGAATAAAATGCAGAGAACTAGTTTTATTTTTACTTTTCCAAGAGAGGGAAAGGGCTAGGTGCCGGGAAATGCACCAGCCCTGAGGAGTTGGGGCTGTGAGATTTTACTGGATCCAAAAGGGGAAGGGGGCTGTAGCTGATTAGTCATGGCAATTAGCTGTAAAGCAGGACATTTCAGGCTGGTAATGCAGCTTCAGTTTGTTTTGCTGTTATCTTTGGATTCAGGGTCTGGGTGCTCCAGGTCTGGTAAGTCCTGTTTGTGTAAGTTTTAAAACACCTGCGCAGGGGATGCTTTTAGTAATCTTCCCAGTCCTGAGAATAGAGGTTCAAAAACAGCATTTAATCATGCCTGACTGACTCAAGGAAAGAGAGAGATAGCTCCTCTAATAGAGAGGGCCCGAAGGGTTTTTTGTTTTTGTTTTTTTTTCTTTTGTCCTTTCATTTCAATGAAGGGGACTTTCAAATAGGAAGTCCTCCTTTATCATACAGAAAAGATGGAATGAGAAAACAAAATTGGCCATGATACTGGATTATAGTGATAATTGCACAAGTGTATAAATGAATTGAACTGTACCTATACAATGGGTGGGTTTTTATGGTATGTAAATTTTTACATCAATAAAGCTATTTTTAACAAATGTCCATGACCTCTTTTTCCCATTTGGTTGTGTGTCATTCCAGTTCTTTTTCTATATAGATTTTCATATAAGTAACATTATACAATATTATATTTTTCAGTGAACATTATTTTTTCATTGATTTAACAAATATTTATTAAAAATTTACATGCACTACACACTTAGAATCGCCAACATCTGGGACACTGACAAAAACAAATGCTGGTGAGGATGTGGAGCAACAGGAACTCTCATTTATTAATGACAGGGATACAAGATGGGTCAGGCACCTTTGGAAGGCAGTTAGTTTGGCAATTTCTTACAAAACAAAAACCAAACCATCCAGCAATTACCCTACTTTGTATTTCTTTATCCAAAGGAGTTGAAAGCATGTGCACACAAAAACCTGCCTGCAGTTGTTTATGGCAGCTTATTCATAACTGCCAAAACTTGGAAGCAGTTAAGATGTTCTTCAGAAGTGAGTGGATGAATAAATTAGTACATCCAGGCAATGGAATATTAGTGCTAAAGAGAAAAATAAGCTGTCAAGCCATGAAAAGGCATGAAGGAACCCTAAATACAAACTACTACGTAAAAGCCAAACCAAACTGAAAAGCTACATGCCGTATGATTCCAACTATATGGAAAATGCAAAACTATGGAGACAGTAAAATGATCATTGTTTTCCAGGGATTTGGATGGGAGGAAGGATGAATGAATAGGTGGAGCACAGGGGATTTTTTTATGGCAGTGAAAATATTGTATGATATTTTAATGATGGGTATATGTCATTATACACTGTCCAAACCCACACAATCAATGTACAACATCAGAAGTAAACCCTAATGTGAACTATGGGCTTTGGGTGATAATGATTGTAGGTTTGTCAGTTGTAACAAATGTACAACTCTGATGAGAAATGCTGATAATGGGGAAGGCCATGTGTATGTAGAGACAAGTAAGTGGGAAAATCTCTGTACCTTCCCCTCAATTTTGCTGCAAACTTAAGACTCCTCTTAAAAAAAAAGTTTTAATTTTTAAAAAACTGTCATTTAAAAAATTTATCATAGGCATTATTCTATGCCCTAGGAATAGTGAAAACAAGCTAGAGGAGGGCCGTGTCCTTGTGAAACTTAAAACTTAAATATTTACCCATATTAATGAGAACTGATACATAGCCTTTTAAGTGGTCTCATAGAACCTTAATTTAGTCATCCCTTATTGTATGTATATTTAGGAGGTTTTTTCTAGTTTATCTATTACAAATAACAGTAAACGTCTGTATGTATTGCATAGTATTTCATTAGGACTGACTTCTAAATTTGGCTATTTTAAAGCTTTTCATGCAAATTGCATTCCCAAAAACCTACCAGTTTACTTTCTCACTGACTGTGGTAGTGAGAATCTCTGTCTTAATATAGTACCCTCCCTAGCATTGACTAATATTTTTTAATAATGTTTTTTTATTTGATTAACACTTATTTCCCTTCAAATCTTTTGTTGCCAGTAAGATTAAGCCATTTTTCACATTTAGAATTTGGGTCTAAGTGCTTTTTTCTCAGTTTATGCTATTAAGGATATCAGTTGCAAATAAATTCACTTAAAGGCCTCACTTCTTTTGTTTGCTTTTCATTTTATGTTTTACCCTACAACTGATAATATAGGAGTCAAATTATAAGCTAATTAGTTTTGAGATCTGCAACAGAAGTCTGGATTTTATTCACAAAGTATTATAGGTACACTGGATTCTTTTATAAATTTCTCCTATTTTTCAGTTGATTGGGACCAAGAAGTCCAAATTGTTTCAGATGTAAAAATATAACACATTCCCTTGGCATGTATTAAACATTCAGTGTCATTGTTGTCTTTCATTACTTCCTCTGAATCCAACTTGCTACTTAGATTGTTTTCTCTTAATTTTTAAAATCACTTTCAGAATTCCCAATTCAGAAATGTGTGTATTGAACATTACTCACACTACTGACTTAGTCTAACGTGAAAAATGGGAAGCTAATAACTTGTGATACGATGTAATGAAAACTGTAATGGTGTGATAGAGTACCATGGATACAAAATGAAGAAAAGAACGGATTCTCATTTCAGGGGTTTGGATTAAGGAAACTTCTCCAAAGAGGTTTTCTTTGAACTGGCCTTTAAAAATAGGACAAGGTATATAGGAAATGTGGTAAGTCATCATACACAATAGGAAAAACATCAGTTAAGTCTTGGACTCTTATGAATAATTCATTCTAACTACATCTCCAGTTTTAAGGGGTAAGGAGAAGCAGAAAAAAATGGAATATTTTGTTAGCAGCTCATTGAATCTTCTCAGCAATCCTATGATAGGCATTATTATATATGCATAAAACATTATAAACATAGAATTTGTTATTCCCGCTATACAGATAAGGAAATTGTGTCAGGAAGATGTAGGTAACGTGACCAAAGTGACCAGCTAGAACATAGAGGAGCCAGACCCCATGACTCTTACCTGTTCTGAACTCTCACAGTGTGAAGCCGTCAGTCTGCACCCAACCTCCCTCTTGCGCTGCCTCGTATGCTACGTGGGTTGAAATAGCTCATTTGATCTCCAATGCAGGATCCAAGAAACACTAGTTCATCAAGTTGCTATTAAAAAAAAAAAAAAAAGCTTTGGCCTGACAAGTTTGGGGAAGTTAGCCAGATGTCCTATCCCACATTTAGAGGTTCAAAGTCCTTATTAGAATTTTAACATCTTTGAGAAGTCTTGTTGTAAAAAAAACCTATTTAACTTTATTTAGTCTAGCATTTCTCCCAATTTATGTAACCAGTTAATAAACACATTGGAGAAAGCTATAGTAGATAATAGGACATTATTGGATACATTTGGTAGAGAGTTAACAGTTCCGTGTTTTAGGCAGCTCATTCTGGGGCAATTGGAGAATGGTTTGGAGGAAAAGACTGGAGTCAGGAAAACAAATGTAGCTCATCCTTTCCCCTCCAAACTGCACTACCAACTCTCATAGCAAATTTTCATGTATTTCCAATCTATGTACTATTTTTTTAATCAGTTTGACATCCCTGTGCCAATATCGTGCTGTCTTAATTACTGTTGCTTTTATGGCAATATTATCTGGTATGGCCATCCCTCTGATTTGTTGATCTTCAGGATGTATTTGCTATTTTTGACCTTTTTTCCTCCAAATATTTTTCAATTAGTTTGGTCACATTCAAGGAAAAACCTTGCTGGCATTTTTATTGGAATTTCACTGACTATTAATTATTATAGGGGAAATTGATTATTTCTAATATAAAGTCTTTTCATCTATGACTTTATAATATGTCCCTTCATTTATATTGGCCTTCTTTAATGTCTGTCTTTTAGTCTGTTAATACTACATATGTAGTATTGAAATGGTTAGTAGTTTTATTCTTTAATCTGTTTCTCATTATCTGGAAGTTATGTTTGCAAATATTATTGTATCATTACTTTTCGTAGTGTGATACCCTTTCTTAAATAGATTAAAAACATATCTGCTCTAATAATTCCAATTCTTCAGTTTGTGCATCTGATTCTGCTCTTTGAGCAACTTATTCTGAGTGATGTTTCCATGTGTGTTTTGTGAATTTTTTCACTGTAAGGACATGTTTCTTAAAACCATATTTGTGATGATATTTTGATTATTTATGTTTGCTTCAGCCAGGCAATAAAGGGCACTACTAAAATTTTAGATTGAGATTTTTTTTCAGTCCACAGTGGTAGTATAAATTCAGGGTTCAAATACA